ATGTTGGAGAACGCATGATAGAATTCTGCAAAACCAATGATTTGTTCATTTCAAATTTACCTTCTTTAGACAACATAAGAGACAGCTATACACATGGAACTCACTAGATGGAATACATAAAAATCAAATTGACGACATCTGTAGAAAGAGACGATGGAAAATCTCCATATCATCAGTCAAAACAAGGCTGGGGCAGACTGTGGAACAGACCATCAATTACTCATATGCAAATTCACACTGAAGCTGAAAAAAATGAAAATAAGTCCATGAGAGCCAAAATGTGACCTTGAATGTATCCCACCTGAATTTAGAGATCATCTGAAGAACAGATTTGATACATTAAACTCTAAGACTGAAGACAAGAAGAATTGTGGGATGACATCAAAAACAGTCATTAAGAAGACAAGAAAGAGGAAAAGGTCCAAATGGATGTCAGAAGAGACACTGAAACTTGCTCTCCAGCGTAGAGAAGCTAAAGGAAATGGAAGAAATGAGGAAGTCCAAGAGCTGAACAGAAAATGTCAAAGATCAGCTCGAGAAGATAAAGCCAAATATTACAACAAAATGTGCAAAGATCTGGAATCAGAAAACCAAAAGGGAAGAACACGCTCAGCATTTCTCAGGCAGGGCAAACCTGTAGAAAAAATTCAAGCCTCGACTTTCATTATTGAAAGATTCTCTGGGCAAATTATTGATGGAAGGAATACACAGAGTCACTGTACCAAAGGAAATAGTTAATGATCAACCATTTCAAGAGGTAGCATATGATCAAGAGCCAGTGATATTGAAGGAGGAAGTCCAAGGTGCATTGAAGGGATAGGCACCAGAACAAGACACCAGGAATAGATGGAATAAAAATTGATATCTTTCAAGAATGTGAGGCGGCACAGGAGGCACTTACTCATCTCTGCCAAGAAATTTGGAAGACAGCTATATGGCCAACTGATTGGAAGAGATCCGTATTTGAGCCCATTCCACAGAGAGGTGACCCAATGGAATGTGGAAATCCTAGGACAATCTCTTTGATATCCCATGTGAGTAAAGGTTTGCTAAATGTAATACAGAAACGGCTGCAAGTATACATTGACAGAGAACTTCCAGAGGTTCAAGCCAAATTCAGAAAAGGCCGTGGAATGAGGGATATCATAGCAGATGTCTGATGGATCTTGGTGGAAAGCAGACAGTATCAGAAAGATGTTTACCTGTGCTTTATTGACTACACAAAGGCTTTTAGTTGTGTGGATCATGACAAGCTATGGACAACATTGCGAAGTATGAGTATTCCAGAACACTTAATTGTGCTGATGAGGAATCTGTACCTGGACCAAGAGGCAGTTGTTCGAACAGAACATGGGAACGCTGAATGTTTTAAAATTAAGAAAGGTGTGTGACAAGGTTTTATTCTTTCACCATACTTATTCAACCTGTATGCTGAACAAATCATCTGAGAAGCTGGGTTCTATGAAGAAAAACGTGGCATCAGGATTGGAGGAAGACTCATTAACAACCTGCGATATGCAGATGATATAATCTTGCTTGCTGAAAGTGAAGAGGACTTAAAACATTTACTGACGAAGATCAACGAGCACAGCCTTCAGAATGGATTACATCTCAATGTCAAGAAAACAAAAATCCTCACCACTGGACCAATAAACAACATTTTTATCAAGGGAGAAAAGATTGAAGTTGTCAAGGACTTCATTCTTTTTGGATCAACTATCAACACTCACGGAATCAGCAGTCAAGAAATCAAACGTCTTATTACATTAGGCAAATCTGCTACACAAGACCTTTTTAAAGTGTTGAAGAACAAAGATGTCAGCTTAAGGACTAAAGTTTGCCTGACCCAAGCCATGCTATTTTTCGTAACCTCGTATGCATGTGAAAGCTGGACAGTGAATAAAGAAGACCGTAGAAGAATTGATGCTTTTAAGTTATGGTATTGGAGAAGAATACTGAAAGTGCCATGGGCTGCCAAAATAACCAATAAATCTGTTTTGGAAGAAGTGCCGCCAGAGTGCTCCTTGGAGGCCAAGATGGCTAAACTTCATGTCTCATACTTCAAACATATTGTCAGGAGGGAACAGTCACTGGAGAAGGATATCATGTTTGTTTAGGTGGATGGTCAGAGAAAAAGAAGAAGACCCCCAAGGAGTTGGATTGGCCAAGTGGCAGCATCGATGGGCTCAAGTATGGCAACAGTACTGTGGTTGGCCACAATTGGTCAGTGTTTCGTTCTGCTGTGCATAAGGTCACTATGGGTCTGTACCAACTCAATGGCAACTAACTACAACAACTTCTATTCAATTTTACATTGCATTCCTCTCTGTCTCCTGCTACCTTCATCTTTCCTCTGCTAACCTCTTCCTTGTATATTGCCTGTCCTTTTACCCATGTTAACACATGACAACCCTCTAGTCTGTCAATCATTTTCTCTCCCCCCCCCCCACCCGTAACCATCATAGATTTTTCTTTTGTCAAGAAAATCCTCTTCTTAACTTTTTACAACATTGGTCTCATACAATATTTGTCCTTTTGTGTCTGACTAATTTAAGTCAGCATAATGTCCTTCAGATTCATCAGTGTTAGGTGTTTCTCAGATTCATCATTTTTCTTCAGTGTTGCATGATATTCTATTGTGTGTATGTACCAAAGTTCATGTAACTACTATGTTGTTGTACATATAGGTTGTCCCTATTTTTCTAAATGATTGATCAACTATTTTAAGCGGTTATATAAGATCAAGGGCAAATGATAATGAAGGTAGAAATCCAAGGTGCAATGAAGACATTGGCAAAGAACGTGGCTCTGAAATTAATGGAATGCAAATTGAAATCTTTCAACAAAGTGATGCACAACTGGAGACACTCACTCATCTATACAAAGAAATTCGAAAGACAGCTACATGGCCAACAGATTGTACGAGACCCATATTTGTGCCCATCACACAGAGAGGTGGCCCAATGGAATGTAGAAAGCATCTGACAATACCATTAATTTCACCTGCAAGTAAAATTTTGCTAAAGATAATTCAAAAATAGCTGTGACATTACATTGACAGGGAACTGCCTGAGGTTTAAGTCAGATTCAGATGAGGATGTGGAAGGAGAGATATCATTGCTGAAACCATATGGATCTTGGCAGAAAGCAGAGACTGCCAGAAAGCTGCACTGTACTTTACTGACTGTGCAAAGGCTTTAGATTGTGTAGATCGTGACAAGTTATAGACAACATTGCAGAGAATAAGCATTCTGGAACAGTTAATTGTGCTCACAAGGAACCTATAAATAGATGAAGAGGCAGTTATTTAAACAGAACAAGTGGATGCTGATTAGTTTAAAATTAGGAAAGATGTGCTCCAGGTCTGTATTCTTTCACCATACTTACTCAATTTGTATGTTGAGCAAATAATTCTAGAAGTTGGATAATAGGAAGAAAAAAGTAGTATTAGTATTGCAGGAAGACTCATTAGCAACCTGCAATATGCAGATGTTACAACCTTGCATGCTGAAAGGTCTTAAAATACTTACTCATGAAGATCAAAGACCACAGCCTTCGGTATGGGTTGCAGTTCAGTGTAAACAAAACAAAAATCCTCACCACTGGACCAATAAACAACGTTCTTATCAATGGAGAAAAGATTGAAGTTGTCAAAGAGTTCATTTTGCTCAGATCAACCATCAACACTCAAGCAGCAGTCAGGAAATCAAACCATGTATTGCATTAGGTAAATCTGCTGCACAAGACCTCTTTAATGTGTTTAAGAGCATAGATGTCAGTTTGAGGACTAAGGTGTGCCTGACCAAGTCATGGTATTTTCAGTAACCTCATATGCATGTGAAAGTTGGACAGTGTATAAGGAAGATCATTGTAGAAGAATTGATGCATTTGAGTTATGGTATTGGAGGAGAATATTGACAGTACCATTGGCTGCCAAAAGAACAAATAGATCTGTGTTGGAAGAAGTACAGCCAGAATGCTCTTTGAAAGCCAGGATGGCCAGACACTTTGTCTCTCATACTTCAGACATATTGTCAGGAGGGACAAGTCACTGGAGAGGGTATCATGTTTACTAAAGTGGAGTGTCATAGAAAAAGAGAAAGATCCCCAGTGAGATGGATTGGCACAGTGGCAGCAGTAATGAGCTTAAACATAGCAACCATTGTGATGTTGGCCCAGGACTGAGCTGTGTTTCATTCTGTTGTATGTAATGTTGCTGTGAGTTGGTACTGACTCTATGATACCTAACAACAAACAACAATCTTTTTGATGTGTGTCTTGTAGACAGCATATGGAAGGATCTTGCTTTCTTTTCCATTATGCTCTCTCTGTCTCTTGACTGGTGCATTTAATGTATTTACATTCAGTGTAATTATAGGTATGAATTGATTCATTTTGTTTCATTTGTCATTTCATTTTGCTTTGTTTTTTTATGGTGCTACTGATTTCTTTATTCCACATTATTTTCTATGCTGAGTTCATTTGGTTTGTGGATTTTCTTTTCATTTTCATTTCTATTGTGTTAATGTTTACTAAATCAATTTTCTTTTTTTATTTTGATGTGCAGGTGTACTGATATTCTTTGAGGTTAACCTGTAATTTACAATTTTTTTCCCCCTGTTTAAAACAGTTTGTTTTACCTTGAAATGCACTTGACTTCCTTGCTATTTGGAAGTTCTGTTTCTATACTAGTCCCGTTTTTTTGTTTTGTAGTTGACTTCAGTATAAATTGATATCTCTGGTTCCCTATTTCAGTCCTGTAGGGTTTTTTTTTTACATCAAATACTTTTGTATCTGGATTGAGTTCTGGCTGGTGTGGGCCTCTTTTTAAAGTGAGGTATCTTTTCATAATTAAAAAGAAAATCAAGTTTATCTAAATCTATTGCTCACATATTGGTCTATAGAATCATTTGTATTTTCAGTGATTTGGAAGACTTGTTTTTTGTATGTTTTAGACATTTCTTGCACATTTAAAACATCTGTGTGTTTGTTTCATTTAGCTGCATGTTGATGTCTCATCTTGAGGAGCCAAAAGCAACAGAAAATGAAGAACCACCCACAGAGCAGGATAAGAGGGAAAAAATAGTAAGTTAAAAACGTAGCTTTTAAATCTTGTTGGTGGTATGCCATCGAGTTGATTCCGAGTTTCTGAGGCTGTAAGTCTTCACAGAAACAGAAAACCTCGTTTTACTCCCACAGTGCAGCTGATAGAATCGAACTGTTTACCTTGCAGGTAGCAGCCCAATATATTACCCATGTGCCACCAGGGCTCTTTTGGGAGAACTGTATATCATAATTATATTCTTTAAGTTTGAAAATGTCTCTCAGTCCATCTGTCTGTCTATCCACACATCTATCCATTCATCCCTTGTTGAAGAATTAACGTAAGGCTTAAGAATTTTAAAATTTGGGATGTAAATATTTCAAAGTTGTATACTCAGCAGTTTTCTTTGTAATGAGTTCTTCAAATGCAGTGTTAAGGTTAACCTCCCCAAATGTTAGAAATACACTGTTTCAGTGGGTAGTTCATCTCTAAAAAACTGCAGTTGAAAGTGACATTAAAATAATCCAAAGAGGTTAGTGAAATAATGAATTGTAAGAATCCAACTGCGAAGTAATAAAGGCACAAATTGATAACCAGGCATCCTACTGAGATAGCAGTTCTTCCTATGAAATGTTAATCAAAAATAGTTTGAGATCAGAGGTTAAGGTCCTTCACAGTAGGCTAGGTAATAGTAATCAAAAGATACTGGAAAAGAAAGTTCCGTTAAAAACAACCTTGGTAACTAAATGAAATGATGACTTCTGAGTTTTTTTTAGTTGAGATTTCAGATTAATTGCCTGTTGACATATGTATTGTTCTTGAGTATTGCAAAGCAGGCAGATTCATTATTGCTTCCTTATTCATTTGAATTGTTACTAAAGGCCTTAATCTGGAAGACCTCTATAACCTTGCTGCTGTTCAAATGGAAACTTTGGCAATGTTTTTACTTTTTTTTTTTTTTTTACATTATTTACATTAAGGATCTAATGTAAATCAAGTCCTTATGTTTACAAATAAATAAAAAATACAGGGCAGTTTGGGAGAACTTACTTTCAGTAACTTGAACTAGATTCCACTGAACAGTAAAGACTACCTTCTTGGTAATTTTTCATGATTTCATTCCTCCTTTTTCAATTGCCTCTTTTTCTGAATAAATTGGCAGTAATGCTAGTCTTGTTTTCTTAAGGGACTTATCTTTTGAGAGAGAGGATATTAAGGAGATTTTTCCATTTTTAAGGGGTTCTTTTGTTTTATTTTATTTTAAAATAAATGTAACCCGTATACATTTTAAAATCACAGAGGGATATGAAATAACCTTTCCGCAAAACAGCCATTACTAACATTGTGGTATTTGGGGGAGATTTAAAACCTTTGTGGAAAATCAAACAAAAAGATAATGGAATTTTTCCATGAACTTTTTGAAACCCTCTTCTATATCTGTCTAAACATTTTATTTGCACCAATACACAAATATTCATATGTGTTTTACAAATTTTAAAAAGTGTACAGTCTTTTCTGCTGGATTTTTCTTTACCCATAACAGTAATATACATGTATATATATCTATGTACATAAATTTATGTTTGCATCATAGTTTCATTTATTGACATTCCATTGTTTATATGTGCATCTTAGGTGTCTCTTCAGCAACATTTCTTAAAGTGTGGTTTCTAGGCAACTGGGGGTTTCTCAGAACCTGTTCAGGAGTATTATCACTTCATAATATAATAATAAATATTTTCTAAGATGTTTTTATGTGTAGGTATTTTTACTGGTCTTGCAATGCAATTTTATGTAACATTTGCTAATGCTGCTAGTACATTAGTCTCAGTCAAGGCAATAACAGCACATATTCTGTATTGCCACAGTTAAAAAACTCAGTTAAAAAAGAGGCAATTTCATTTAAGAATATTCTTGATGTAGTTAAAATTATTAATTTTATTAAATCTCTTGAATATATGTCTTTTTTATAATCTCTGTTAACAATGTTGCAGATAGTATCTGTGGCTATGGTTATCTCAAGTGAAGTACTTTTTTTTTAGTGTTTTATTGTGAATTATATGATAGTTTACATGGGAGAACATTAGTTTAACATTCATTCTGT